AAATATTTTAAATTGTTTTTTTCTTGATTCTTTATATTTTTTTTGCTTCCGACGACGGAAAGAGAAAACTTTCCGAAACGTTAAGCATTTTTTTCTTTGTTAGGCAAATTTTTATTACTGTAAACACAACTTCTGACAAGCAGCGTCCGTTTAGGTTTAACCCTTGTTTATATATTCTTAAAGTTGTTCAACCGACTAGACAAATTGTGCTGCCAACTGGAGGACAAATCGTGAACCTTTCGAGGCGGAGTCAAAAATATCGATTATTTTCGTTATTTTCCTCAGAGTAATGTAATAATATAGCCCCGAGTTTCTGCGAGCTTTAGTAGTGATCAGCTGATTAAGAAATTTAAACGAAACTTTTATTTTATTGTAAATTGTGGATTATTTTTGCCTGTTATTTTAAGAATTCTAAACCGAATTAACAAAGAAATTATTATTTCGATATGTTGGTACATTATTTATAATTTATGATAATGCTAATTGCTGTTAATTAATATTTAAAAAAAAGTTATATACCTATTTTAATTTGATTTAATGCAGGTTTATAAAAGAATCATTTCATTCTTAGATTATTTTATTCTAAATTGAGTGCTTTACCAATTTTACGATATTTTTTTTTGAAAACATAAAACTTTTTACATTTTTGATGACAACTAATTGGCATGGTATTATTGGTATGGGAATTAGCCAAGAAAGAAAAGAATTGGCTATAACTTGTAATTTTTCGAAAAAAACATATTATACCTATATCGCTGAAAAGCTTAAAGAATTGGGCTCTTTATGAAGTCATGGCCAACTAGGGTTTCCATTTTAAAAAGAAACTTAATGTTTGTGTCATATGTCAAAAATGACAGGCTTTAGAAAAAAAAAACAGAAAACACAAACTCATTAGCTATGTGATTATCTACAACTTTTATCTGAAAACTTTTTGTCTAAAATACCGTATGATCGAATAAAAACGGCGTCAGCGATGGCTATGAAATGACGATCGATGATATTTTCCATATAATTTTACATATAAAATGACAACAATCTTCATTTCATAGCCATCGTTGACGCCGTTTTTATTCGATCATACGGTAGATTATAATAGAATTAGAGACAAGTTTTAAAATAGCCAAAATTTGTTTTTTTTCGTAATATCTAGTAAGCCTTGAACTTCACCGAAAAATCCGAAAGGCGCATATTTAAAACCCCACAAAACTGCAGTTCTTTCCCCATTTAACCGACTCTCTGTCTCCAGTAGTTTCCGAGATACCCATAGCGAACATCGTAGGAAACTCACCCTGTATAGTATTTAGAAACTAACTATTATTATCATTTAACTAGATTTATTTGATTAATAAGACTCGATTAATTTATTTTAAAATAAATTTGATCAGATTTTTTTTTTCGTATATTCTACTACCAGAAAACCAAAATTATATGATAAGCACTTTTCAACGAAGTTGAAAGAAGATATAGTGTATCAATCACAATACTTAATAGAATTACTACAATTAGAAGAAAAACAAAAAGAAAAAATACCCAAATACCTTCACCACTCATCTACAAAATAAACGAATATAATCTCTTATAAAAACACTACACAACTACTTCTTGTACTTTACACTAAAAAAATGATCAAACTTACTAATTAACCAAACAAAAAGAAAAAATAACTAAATTATCCCTTCAATTCATCCTACTACTTAACTACAAAATAATAAACTATAAAAACACTACTAAACTAATTCTGGTATTCTACACTAAACATTATAATTAAACTTAATAAAATTAATCTAATTACTACAACCACAACAACTACAAAGAAATAAGAACATTTTTTAAAACTAGAAGAAACAGAACTTCGATACGTGCGACCAGTATAATAGATCAGGCTGACAAAGAATACAAAATACTTTAAAAATGTGCATTCAGAAAGAAAAAATATCTCGAAAATTATCTAAACAAACAAGTTTTTTTCTTATCAGTGAAAAGCATAGGCCTCGTCGGCCTTGCGGAATTTGTCGGGTATTTACAATGGTCGAATTGAATAATTACCAGCTTTTATAGCATATCTAATAGACAAAAAGTATCTGGTCGATTAGTAACCAATTGGCACAGTCCGAAAATTATCGATTTTTATTTTCTCTGTTTTTATTGGTCGCTTCAAAATTCAGAGTAACAAAAAATATTTTTCTGTAGTAAAAGACTGTGAAATACGCCCCGCCATCTGGCGCTTTACATCCATAAACGTCTTAGGTTGAGCTACTTTAAAAATTCATATACAAGGGTTTAACGCCAGAAGTGTTTACAAAAAATAACTATTTTATTTTGTAGATTTTTCTTGCAGTGCAGTGGCGAAATACCCATAAAGAATTTTTTTGGATAGATGAATCCGCCACATAGGTGTAGACATTTTTTATAATCTTTAATATTTGGCATATTATACAGGGTTAATCGAGGGGTTGTTGGTTTACCTTAACTTTAAAACACCCTGTGCGTAAATTTTTCTAAAATATAATTTTACGGTCAGAACCATAACTCCTGAGCATTTTGTTTTTTGATTCACGTCAATACATGCTTTGGTTAATTTTTAACAGCGAAATGAACTGATCACGATCCATTTTCAATTTTTCAATTATCATTACTTTTTGTTGTAATTTTTTAATATGACGGAATGGTTTTGGTGGATATTGTCATAACATCGTAATACGCTGCATTGTATACTCTATACTAAATTATATATCATTTTATATATCATTGTATACTTGTCACGCGTTTTGGCCTTAGCTTGGACCTTTTTAATTTTAAAAAAAATAGAAAAAAAATTGTACAAAAAAAATTAGAGCTATACTAAATGAAAAAAAAAACATTAAAAACTAACGATACAGTTCGGGTTTTAATAAACATTAATAACGATAACAGAACTAACGATATTAAAGAAAAAATCTGTAATACTCAAGTATACAAAAAGAAAAAAAAATGGAAAAAATACTCTAATACCTACTTTATATTGCCTCTACCTACTTTATATTGCCTACCTACTTTATATTGCCTCCTACGTCCGTTTATACTGTCATTGCAGCTGCATATATCATATTGCTTTATGTTTTCCTATTCTTCTTTAAGGGCCAAGTGAAGTTCATTTAATGAAGCTGGTAACGTTTCGCGACCTCTAATCCTTTTGTCAAGTATTTCGTAAACGTCGAACATGATGGGCAGTTCATAGTAGTGTATAGTTCACAATAATCACAAAGCCGCCTTGTCTTATTGAAAAATAACTTCAAAAAGAAATGATAATTGAAAAAAATTGCAAATTGTTGGGGGCAAGTTCATTTCGCTCTTAAAAATTAACCAAAGTATGTATTGACATGATCCAAAAAACGAAATGCTCAGGAGACATGGTTCTGACCGTAAAATTATAATTTAGAAAAATTGACACGCGAAATTATTGCACAAGGTGTTTTAAAGCTAGGGTAAAAAAACAACCCCTCGATTAACCCTGTATAATATGCCAAATACTAAAGTTTATAAAAAAACTGAGTATACAAATTAAAGTTGATATAATTATATATAGCTTGCTAAAAAATTCATAAAAATAGAGCTAAAAATAACAAAAATATAACACTTTAAATTTGACCAAAATTTTTTCCGTTGCGTTTTTTTTGCATCTGAGTGTATTTATTAATGGTAAAATACGAGCGAAAAATCGCCATATGAAATATAAAACCGCGAATATCTGCGAAACCTTTAAAAATTTTGAAATACTGTAAATACAAAAATTGTTTAATTTTTAAATATCTATCTATTGAAAAAGTTATGTACAAGGTGTTTCATTTAAAAGAACGAAGAAGAATTATTTTCTATTTTAAGAAATTTGGCGTAGAATTTTGAACACCCTGTATAATTTACAATTACCATATTTAGCAAAGTAAGTACAGGCCATGTAAAGTAAATAATTAATATCGTTTTGATTTCAGGACAGTTCTTGTATTTTTAATATTTTTTTTTAAGAACAGCTGAAAAATAAATATTTTTTATTTATTTATTAATATCTCTAAAACTATCGAAATAAATTTACACATATCTTAGGATTACGTAAAGTAATCTGAAATGAAGCTAAAAATGCGGTGATATACAGAGTGTTCCATTTAAAAAAAATCATCCCGATACACTCACTTTTTTGAGAAACCCTATGGAAGTTAAAATATTTTCTTGAAATAGATCCGAGTACATACTTTAAGTTTGCACTTAAACAAAATCCCCAAGTTTTTTATTCTAGTAATGAGATACAGATGCCCGACGCACTATTGCCGGACCCTGTATATGTCGATGACTTGCAGCTCGCGAATGACATTAGAGTGCAATAATTTTTTTAAACACAATATATTTCGGTAAACGGAGATTTTAGTTCTTCTAATAAAAAAGGATTCTTTGATTTGCAGCTTTAAGATGATGATTTGATAGCTCAAAGAGTGCCTTTTGGGCATGGTTACTTAACAATTTTTTTCAAAGTATATATATATATATATATATATATATATATATATATATATATATATATATATATATATATATATATATATATATATATATATATATATATATATATATATATATATATATATATATATATATATATATATATATGCCAGTATATGTATATGTTTTCTTGTATATGCCTGTAGGTGTAACATGAACTGTTTCTCTATCAGCTTTTCGTTCATGTTCCTATATTACAGCCTTCATAGAACTGAAAAATATTCACCAAAACGATAAAACAATATAAATATCTCTTTTAATTTGCTACACATTTATTTAGGTTATGGTTTATTAAATCTTATTTAGCTTAATACATAATACCCGACAGATATAGAGGTTCTCATTATTTTGCGTTTTATTTCTATTTGTGTGTGTCTATTGTGTAGTAAATACTAATCCAATGTTTTGATTAAATATTGGAATAAATCTAAATACGAACTGTACAGGTATTTGTCTGGTCTAATTCTTACCTTGTAAGTTTAAACAGCCTCAGTATCCTAATAATGCTGAAGAAGTCCAATATTTGAGATTTCTTCTCAAAAATTAGAATCATATCGATGTAGAAACTCAAAGTTGCGGCGAAATCGATTATATTCACCGGTGATTTGCTAAATTCGATTACATTAGGGGAAACCTACAAAAAAAGAGTAAAGGAAAAATCAGGAATGTCATTGGAAAAACTAGATATTAATTATAAAAACTAGACCTAATTATAAAAAAAATCCATTCTATGAGGTTAGAGCAGACATTTTTTTATAATATACCTACTTATAATGAACGTAATATTAATTCCAAATACATTAATGGCAACGAGAAAATATCAAGTAAGTTATAAACTAGTCAAAACGAATTATGGATAATTTTGATAAATTTTATTTAAACACAGAAAATATATTTATTTAAATTATTATTATTATCATGACCCATCTAAGGAAGAAGTGGCGAAGGAAATGACTTACCTTGGGCGTTAAACAAATGTCGCTCACACTGGAGAAGCTTGTTACAAAGGATAAGACCTGTATAAATCATAATATGCAACGGAAAAAGTCCATTTCAACGCAGACGGGCTCTATAGATCACCAAAATAGCTTTTATAGATTCGCCAAAAAAAATAGTTTCACCCGAAATAGTGTCATCGCAACCTCCTAAGGCCGCCATAAGAGAAGACTCGAATTATGTGGTGGTGTCCAGAATTCCACCTCCTTACACAGCGAATCAACTTGCGCACTATGTTAAGGAACAGCTAGAGATCCACCGATTTCATCAGATGCTTTCCAATGCTGAAAAGTAGACAGTTCCCATTCCGATATCAAAATTGGAGTGCAAAAGAGGTGTCACTTAGTGCAGCATAAGCTACCTCACCTACTTGACCCACCACTGGCAACTATGCCAAGGGAGGTAAGAACTATTAAGATTGGTTCTGATAGGAAGGCTATAGCTGCTTGCAAGTCCCTGGCGATGGAAAATCCAGTGCAGGGAAGTCCAGTGCAGCGCAAATAATTGTGCAGGGAAGTACGAAGAGAGATTGTTTGGTAGTTATGGACCCGATGACTCCACCTATGGCTGCCACCGTGCCACCGTGCGGCTGTCTCAGGACTCAGATGCGGTAAATGGACGTTACGTGTTGGCCAGGTTGAGGGAACCCTCCATTTTGAAATCTCTTAGGCTATTTCTTGCCTATCTCCACGACTAACCATCCAGTGTATGTTTTGAAGGACACACTAGTACTAGCATCAAATTGATGCTTGCATCAGAAGGGCTACCTAGTGACCTGGACTCCTTAAGTAATTTGTACTACCGCTTCCACAACGCCTATGGTATTGGTTCAACCGAAGTTGATGCAGATCTTTCAGCCTTCAGGTCATTCTTTTCTGCGGAGAGCCTTCTACGACTTCAAAAGATTAGGGAAAGTCATGGCAAATATTATTCCAGTGGCTCCCCAAATAAGAGTAAAAATTTTTAGTTCAATTGACGCGAACAGAGGATCAAGCACCCTCTGAAAAATTAAGCGATAGTAAGCTTGGTATATTCCTTATTAATATTCAGTCCTTAACATATAAAACAGATGAATTATATCTTTTACTAGAAGAATTTGAATTTCCAGATATCATTGCCATAACTGAGCACTACTTAAATTTTGATGAGCCTGCGTTGTCATCTTTTGATCCTAACTCCATCGCCTGCAACGTCTTTAGCTCGGGTCTCTCTGATCATAAAGCAGTTTTAACTGAATTTTCGATAAAGTCCAAAAGCAAAAATGCCTTTCGTAAATTATGCCGTATTTTTAAAAGAATGCTCAAAAGTTCAGCCACTTATGTAAAACAACCAACTGGGATACTCGCTCTTATGATGTCGACACCGAATTTTCTATTTTCGAAAAAACAAACAGTCTAGCGTTCAAATCCTTTCCTCTTAGGTCTATCAAAAATAAGCATAATAAACCTTGGGACCACTAAAGGTCTACGCATATATTCTAAAAACATGCGTTCATTATCTCACTTAAAAAAATTCTCTTTACACACAATTACGTAAAACTATACAGAAAAATTTATCATAAGACTATAAGGGCCGCTAAGGACTTTTATTATAATAGGAGAATAGTCAATTCTGGTAATGTTGCTAAAGAGATATTGTCTATTGTGAATGATTTGAGAAACAAAGCTTCTTCGTCAATATCTCTACCTCACCTGAGAACCTTAACGATTACTTTGTAAATGTAGCGAAAAACTTAACTAATACCATATGTCCTTCTCATGATCCACTTTCATATCTTTCTAATGATAAACTTACACAGTTTCTTTTTTTCGCCCGTAGTTTTAGAAGAGCTTCGCAGTACAATTAATACCATCAAAAATAAATCCTCATCTGGGACCGACGGGCTAACTTTAAAAATGTTTTCGAATCTGCCAGAAAGCACTCTCAATCACCTAACTACTTTAATAAACATGTCATTCCAAAATGGTATTTTTCCAAAATGTCTTAAGACGGCAATAATCATTCCTCTGCATAAAGGAGGAGAAGAAGATCGCCCAATTGCACTAACTATCGCCCAATTGCACTCCTTCCAACGCTATCTAAGATCATAGAAAGGTTGGTTAAAGGAAGGCTAGTATCTTTTTTGTTTAAGTACAAAATATTTACTGAACATCAATTTGGTTTTCTAAGCAACAAGTCCACAAATGACGCTGTGTTTTCCCTCCTTAATAAAGTTTACTCCAGCCTAAATAACCATCATTCTACAGCAACAATTTTCTGTGCTTTTTGTAAGGCGTTCGACTGTGTAAATCATAAGATCCTAATTAATAAACTGCATCACTATGGGTGCAGGGGAACATCTCTCGAATGGTTTAAGTCGTAACTGAGCAACAAACCAAACCAAACCAAACCACAACAGGAGTCAACTTGTGAGGATGGATACCACGTTGTCTTCTAGCAAGCCAATAGAATATGGAGTACCACAAGGCTCAGTACTAGGCCCTATTTTGTTTCTTCTTTTTATTAACGACATTGCTAACACAAACATCAGTGGCAAAATATGTCTTTTTGCGGACGACACTAGCTTCACTTGGAGCAACAAGGACGTCAAGGCACTTCATAGGATTATATCAAATGACTTAATCACCATTAAATTTTGGTGCGATTCGAACCTCCTGAGTCTCAACATTTCTAAAACTAAAGCTTTGTCGTATACAAACTCGCTGCAACCTTTTGTACTTAACAACACCACCATTGACGTCGTAAAATCTGTAATTCTTAGGGCTTGTTGTAGACAATTCTCTGAAATGGGACATACATATCGAAGCTTTGTCGAAAAAATTGAGCTCTGCCTGTTTTGCATTAAAATCTGTTTCTAAGGAGCTTAACTTGTCAATGGCTAGAACTGTTTATTATGCAATTTTTGAGTCGCACATCAGGTATACCCTTCCATTCTGGGGTACGTGTTGTGCGACTCAATTTGACCGCATTTTCAAGCTCCAGAAGAGAGCTGTTCGATATTCACTGGGACTAAACAGCAGAACTCATTGCCAGGATTAAAAATATTAACTCTTTCTTCCTTATTTATATTTGAATCCGTTTGCCTAATACGTAAGCATGTATCTCAAGAAAGGCCATCTCACATTTATCCACTCAGGAACGCGGAGCAAGATCATTATCTACCTACCCCACGCTCAGAGTTAGTTAGAAGTTCAATATTATACAACTCGAAAAAAATGCACAATCACCTGCCATTTGAAATCAAATCCATAACATCATTTTCTTCATTTCGCAAAGCATTGAACTCTTATTTACTAAACAAGGCTTTCTTTTTTTTACGCCGCAAATGAATTATATTTTGAAAATCGAATTTGATCTTGTAAACACTGGTCTAATGTTTGCTATTGCTATATTTACCAATGACACCGAAATAAATTTATTTAGAGGTCATTGATATTTACTATAAACTAACTAAATACTTTTGAATTTTATTTTTATTTTTTTTTATTCTTTGACATTGTAAACCTTTATAAATTTTTATTTTAAACGATAAGACTGACAATATTATTTGTATAATGTGTTTCTTTACTTTACCTTTGTCTACAAATTGTAAATTTTTTTGACAATAAAGGCATTTATTTAAACATATAAACTTAGCAATATGTTCCTTAGGAATTAAGATTGAATGTAGTGTATGCACCTTGGTGTTTATGACGAAAAAAGTTGTCAAACTGCTGCAAATTTTATTTTTATTACGTTATGAATGACTACGATATGTATCAAAAACAATGCTAAAGAAATTTTATCTACGGTTTCTACGCACTTCTGCACACCGATTTGTAATAGACTGAATGAGACTCCGAATAAGCTCTTCAGGAAAGGCGTTCCACTCATCTCGAAGATCTTCTACCAAAGTTTGAAGATCTGGTGGTTGCGGACGACTTTATAGTATTCTCTTTAGTAGATCCCAAAGGTGCTCAATAGGATTGAGATCAGGGCTATTAGCAGGCCAATCCATAATTGTGATATTAGACTCTTCAAGGTATCGAGTAACGACCCTTGAAGTATGAAGCCTGGCATTATCCTGTTGTAAGATTAATTCTGGACCATGCTAAGCAGCAAATGGAATAAAATATGGTTCGTTAATATCATTTTTGTATCGTTCAGGATTAAATATGCTGTTTAGAAACACATCCAAGTCCGTACGCCCATTTAAAGTTATACCTACCCCATACAATGACAAAACCTCCAACAAAATGAATCGCTTCTCTGACTGTTGTGTCCAGATACCGGTCATTCGGTCTTCTATAAACTCTCCACCGGACAACATTATGTCTTAGCGAAAACGGGAGTCCTCCGTAAAAAAAGGTGCCTCCACTGATCCACACCCCAGTGAAGATGTTCTTGAGCAAATATCCTTCGAGTCCTACGACGATTAGCAGTTAAATGCGGCACAACAACTGCTCGCCTTCACCGAATTTTAAATTCATGCAGCCTATTTCTTATAGTCTCAGTTGATATTCGAGTTCCTCTGGCGATCGTAAGAAGATTTTATCGGTTTCTTGCGGTAAGTGTTCTTTCAGGAAGAGTGGCTTGAACAAAATACCGATCTTCCCGCCTCGTTGTCCGCCTAAAGGTTGATTCTCACTATACCTTCCG